GGAATATATAAGAAAATTAGAAAGCTGCTTAAGATTGTAGATGAACAAAGCAGAATCCTGGAATTTCAAAGTGCAGAGAAGAAAAACAAAATATAATAGTGATCAGAGTACATGGAACAAACATTAGTAATATATGTCCAAAATAATGTAATAAAAAAACCCTTCTACGTTATCTTAAATTGTATGTTTTTCATTGCTGATTTAAGATGGAATTTCTGTATTTTGTACATTTTTACAGCAATTATTATGAAACCAAGCCAAATTTACTACAGGTCACCTGCAGTGATAAAGAAACCAGCAAACATATAATGATTTTTAAACAGTAAAATTGTACAACAGAGGGAGTGGAAGTTAAACAATGATTAAAACATTGGAGAAGTTTAATCTCTGAAATCTAAATGTATGTATTTATTTTTCTTTAACTTATTAGAGGTCAAAAGATTAAGCTAGTTTGGACCTTTCTGCCGGCTCATGGTCTGTGAGAGAAAGGATGGACAGCGAGGCAGAAAACAGCAGTCTCTGTGCATGAATCTGTTGTTGACTTCTAAGCAATCGTGAAGTTCAAATCTGGGATGTTTTTGTGTTAGAGCACCACCTAGTGACGTGAGGTGAAGACTGCACTGAGAGTGAGCCACCGCTAGCAACTCATTAACAGAAATCTTATAACCACGTGTTGTTAAAATTATGTCTTTTAGGAGGTTTCTGCCATATCATTATTAACGTTATTGCTGTTAGGAATACCTGTAACATTTTTCGTTCTCTGTTAATAAGCATGAAGTTTCTTTTACGTCATAAGGATTATTTTGCTACTTTGTTTTTACTCTGGTATATTTCAGAGAGATATTATTATTGGCGTTATGAACAATTGGCCATGGCTTGGATACTTATCAGTAAAGAATAGAAGTTTCGTCCTCCAGGGTAAAGGCATCCAAAGTGTAGAACAGCACAAAAAATATAAAGAGCTTTATTAAATTTGCAGCGTTTGATTTGGTGTTGATTAGTTATTTATTTATTAAGCTGCATTACACTTTTTTTTTTAGTTTGTGTTTGTTGAAAAAAATGGTAAAAAATAAAGGTAAAAATGAAGCAACACCCACTGGACACTTCATTAATTACACTTTGCTAGTACTAGATTGGACCCCCTTTTGAGACGACTTTAGCTTTGTGGCATGGTGCATTAACCTGCTGGAAGAAGTCATTATAAGGTGGGTGCACTTTAGGCATAAAAGGATAGACGTGGTAAGCAACAATACTCAGATAGGCTGTGGTGCTTGGATGATGCTTAATTTGTTTTAAGGGGCCCAAAGTGTACCAAGAAAATATCCCCCACACTGTGACACAACCAGTACCAGCCTGAACTGATGATACAAGTCAGACTGGAACCATGCTTTCATGCTGTTCATACCAAATTCTGACACTACCATCTGAATGCCATTAAGAAATAAAGGTTCATCAGACCAGGCAACGTATTTTAAACCACTTTTCATCCAATTTTGGAGGGCCTTGGTGAATTTCAGCCTCAGTTTCCTGCTGTTACCTGAGAGCAGTGGCAGCTGCAGTGGTCCTCAGATGCTGTGGCCCATTTGCTTCAAGGTTCAGTATGTTACCTTGGTTTTAATGAGTGATTATATAAAATGAAAAATAGGACCATTGTGCACAATGGATACTCCTTTAAAGTATTTTAATTGTGGTGCTCTATTTTCTCCCATAGTGAGTTTGGTTTGGACTTTTTTTAATTTTTATTTAATGCCATGTTTTGTCCATCAGCCGCCACGGTGGCGCAATTAAATTTTTAGAAGGCACTATTCTTATAATCGACGAATCCAATTGGCTCAACTTTTACAGTTTGATTGGTCAGTCTTGACAGCGTGGGCGTGGTTAGGTGTCAATGTTTTTGTGGCTCGCTCCGTGTATGTAACCGCACCAAGGACTCTGCAATGTGATTTCCTGACATTGATTTGTTTTCGTATCATTTAACACGCCGTCTTCACCGCATGATGTACCAGCTTTCGACGTGGGGGATCACTAGAAGGTGAAAGACGGAAGTAACCGAGGAAAAAGCCGGAATGGCAGGCGCCTTTGGCTTTAAAGGCTGCCAGAAAATTCGAGGACCTCAGATTAGAAATCTGCTTGAGGCGAAGGACTTCTTTCTCTTCGACTGCGACGGGGTCATATGGCACGGAGAGAACGCGATAACGGGCGCCGCGAAGGTGGTGAGCTCGCTGATCCGGCGCGGCAAAAACGTGGTGTTCGTCACCAACAATTGCACCAGGCCGCGGGAGAATTATGTGCACAAGTTCTACCGGCTGGGCTTTACCGACGTGATGCTGGAGCAGATCTTTAGCTCGTCTTACTGCTCGGCTCTCTACTTGAGAGACGTCGTCAAGGTCCCTGGCCAGGTGTTTGTCATCGGCTGCGACGGACTGCGCAGAGAGCTGCAAGAGGCAGGCATCCCCTGCGTGGAGGAGGCGGATGATCCGGACGCCACCATCTACGACTGCGCCCTGGCTCCGGACGTCAAGGCAGTGCTGGTTGGACATGATGACAAACTGACTTTTCTGAAACTGGCCAAAGCCTCCTGCTACCTGAAGGACCCGGAGTGTCTGTTCCTGGCCACCGACAACGACCCCTGGCACCCTCTGTCAGGTGGAAGGATACTACCAGGTATAATGGGGATGAGGTTTAATTACCACATAGTGTTGCTCATTCACGTCACGTTAAGATATTTGTTTTTCTGCCAGACATGGATAGATTGCTAAAATGGCTTAGCGGTCAAGGGACCAGGATGTCAAGAGGTCAGAGGGCCCTAAAATTACTTATTCTGCAAAAATAGCTGGGCTTGTGCATCACAGGTTTCTTTTCACATGTTCATTAGCATGAATACGCAGTGTCAGGACAGGTCTGCAGAGAACAAATGGCTAAAACAACAAGAGCTCCGGCTTGTTGCGTTATTTAAACTTTTTTTGTTCACTGCACCACTCTTCAGGGGCCCACCACTGCACAGATACACACAGAATGCACCTGGAAGCTTCACTGCAGTATAACTAACCCACAACCTGAGGCACAGCTACCTCCTGGCCTCAGGCTTGTATCAGTTCATCATAACTAGTTTGCAGAGTTTTAAGATAAGGTAGTAATTGAGTTACCCAGAGACCATAGGGTAAAAGCTGGTTCAACTCAAGCTCAGGGCTCTGGTGCATGTCATCAGTCCTCTCTGCCCTCATTTCCTCCTGATATGTTTAAGATTTAAAAAAAAAAAAAAAAAAAAGCCCCAAAAAACATGTGAGAGCAGTTGTCAGTTTAGCTCACTCAGTAATCCATTTTAGATTCCACAAATCTGAAGGGTGATTTTTTTTTCTTTCTCCAAAACAAGTGGCCCTCTGGAAAATATTTATGGCTTGTACCTACTGACTGAGCAGCTTATATGAGATTCGCAGAACTATTAATAGCATGCAGCTGGAAATGAAAGTGGTTGGTGGTGATTCAGTCATCTTTACTCCGCCTCTCCCCCTGCAGGTTCTGGCTCCCTCACAGCAGCCTTGGAGGTGGCCTCAGGACGCAAGGCCACTGTGATCGGAAAGCCCAGCCGCTTCATGTTCGAATGCATCTCCAGTCAGTTCAGAGGGGTGGATCCCGCCCAGTGCCTGATGGTCGGGGACCGCCTCGAGACGGACATGCTGTTCGGGTCCAACTGCGGCCTCGACACCATGCTCACTCTCACTGGTGTGTCTCAGATTGAGGAGGCCCAGGAGTACAGGAATAGTGACCAAACCACCAACCACAGCTTGGTGCCCGACTACGTGGTGGACACCATTGCTGATTTCTTACCGGCTTTTGAGGAACTGGACGAACAGAGCAACTGAAGAGTCTGTCTCCTGTACAGAGCACAGATTGCTTCAAGTGCAATGTTGAGTCTTTAGTTTATTAATAAATAAGAAGGCGCTGTTTATGTTGTGACCAAGACTGATTTAGGGCAAATCATTTCCATAATCACAGTAATCCAGTGCATACCTCAGTGTTTCTTCAAGTGTTGTGCTCATTTTGTGACTTGACAGTTTCTGTAGCTTTACGTGTTTATAATAATCTATGAATATACTGCAGTTTTGTGTTCACACAGATCATACCGTGTTTGATATTGAGTTTTAAACATCCAGAGGTATTTTTGTAAAGCAATGAATTGTTCTGAATTCATGTGTTTAGAAGCTGGCTGTTTAAAGTTTGTTGCCAAACAGGAGACATGTACTTACTAATGCTGAATTATCTTCAAGTGTGCTTGCCTAGGTGTCACTTCTAATTATAATCACAAGAAGATAAAAAAAAACAACTAACAGTGTGAGCTTTTCTCAGCTCTGGTAGAGACTAAGCTGACAATCTGCCAGGCAGACAGGTAAAGTGTTCATTCACTTCCGGCCTTTCTGTCATTTCTGTGCTACTTGTGCCAATATTCATCGGAGTAAACGGCTGAAACTCATAGCTAGAAAGCCAATAATGGTTGCCTATCATACTGCACTGTTGTGAACTTTCAGTGTTATTAATGTTTACTATATAGAGCATGCCAGCAATGGTAACAATAAATACCTTAAATTAATTTTTTCTTGAAAAGAGTGGTGGCCTGTTACTAGAATTCCCTTTATGTCTGCTTGTTTAGAATCTGCACAATCAAATTCCAACAATAAAATAATCCAACATTATTTTAATCATTTAAATCCAGCCGTTCACATGAACTCAATGTACTTTCATGCAGCATGGTTGCCTCAACTACCTCACCAGCCTTTTAGCTCCAAAAACCATCAGTTCAAGTGCAGCGAGAGACATGGAAAGTCCAACTTCCTTCTGTATACTAGAGCCTCCTGCTTGGATTTTAGTCAGCATGTAAAATTAGATAAATTGGACGAATAAAAAAGATGAGTTGATGATTTTGTTTTTAAACTAAAATTGATTAAAAACAAATCTTTGAGAAAAATATGCAATGCCAGGTGAATAAAGACAAACCAAGGAGCTAGTGTGCCTTTGCAGCGTGTTTTACAGTGAACATCTGTTTGTATGGAGTTCATATACACTTAAACTACTAATAATCAACATATATACATTTTAACAGGATCCATGTAATATTTTATTCTACATGTGGCATCGGGTTCTCTTGTGCTGAGGAACAGGATTAAAGACATACTGATCTTCAACATATAAGGACTTTGGCTGCAGTGATGGCGTCACTTCATGTCACTCTGGTCCACCGCGCTGTGGCAAAGAAATGATATAGAATACAAATAAACACAAATACCAGCCAAAATATATACTTAAATACTCAAAACTTTCAGATTCTACTTGCAGTTTCTATAGCTAGTTATGCACCAGCAACAAGTTACAGTAAGTTTTCCTAAGTTCTCAATCAGTCCATACACTTAACCTTTGTACTTTTGAATCCTACTGCTATGAGTTTATGATCAGTCAAAGGTGGGTCATATACTGTTGCCAACTTTGCTTGACATTTAACATTTTTCCGTCTCTTTTGTTATTCCACTCTGCTCAATTTTAAAGAACCAAGTAGTTCTGTGTAAAAACTCTGGGTACAGTTAAGATAGCCTCACCTGGATGTAATCCATCTCATCTGCTGTTAACGGTCTCCTGCGGTACCTTGCAGGAAGTAGCTGAATAGAGGCCAGTGTGTCTGGCGTGCCTGGGATTGGTGTTAAAGGTGCATGCGGTCTTGATAACTGAGGCGATGCTGCAGCTGAAGTGGGAGCATTATGTTGAGGAAGGTTTAGTGCTAATGTTTTCAATGCCTCCTGGGCTTGAGGACGAAAAGAAAAAGAGTAACGTAATGAAATAATCACCAGGGAAGGCATTGTTAACGATTATATTTCTGATAAATGTGAACCTAAAAGAACACGTTCTTTCAGCTGGGAAAAACAAAGGCTCACCATTAGGTCTGGGCAGGCCTTGTCTGTTGGGGAATTTGATCAGGGGAGTATGAGGCCGTATTGCCTGAGAAAACAAAATCAAACAGCAGTCAGTTAAAGGGTAGGCATCCTGACATGACAACAAATTGACAGTAGTTTTTTTTGTCTCCCACACGTGCTAAAACAGAGTGAATGAGCTTTAAAACAAACACAGCTGCTAGAAAAATATGATGAACAACACTAGGGTGAATTAAATTTTTTATTTATGTATGGTATGACTTGTGACAGTATTTTTGTAAAATCAGGCGCTCAACGTTAAGTTAATGTAGCCTTCTAACAGCAGTTGATAGGAATATACCACAAAACATACAACAGAGCAAACATTATACAAAATACAAGTGCATCTAACACAGTGGTTCCCAAAGTGTTTTTTTGCTGGGCCCCCCTTTGTTTTACAAGAAAAATGTTTGCGCCCCCCCCCACAAACATATCCTCCAACCATACACACCCATATTTTGTTTTCAAACTCCATTGCGGTTTATTTCACACCTCAATCAATTAGTAAACAAATAGGCAAATACAAGTAATCTGCAATAAATTACAGGTAGTAATAAAATAATCTCCAAACTCTTACGCTACGTCCACACCTACACTGGTATTTTTGAAAATGCAGCTGTTTCTATGCGTTTGGACCTATTCGTCCACAAGTAAACGGTGCTTCGAATCACCGAAAATCTCTGTTTTCAGTGATTCGAAAATCTCCGCCTCTGCCTATGGTGTGATTATTTTACGTGTGGTTGTTTTTTTCCTGTGTAATAATATTCAACATTGCTATCAATACATTTCTCAAAAAATTCCTCTCTGTGCAAAATGGGTTCAAAAACATAAACAACTTTGAGATACTGTTAGTCCGTGATTTGAACCAGGGAAACAAATCGTGGCAGGATCGCTCTAACTTTACTGTATAAAGAGTTAATATCTCCAAAATGTCAGGAGTAGTTATTTATTACAAGAAGTGTTTGTGAACTAAAAATCAAGAATGTGGGATACTGTTTGTCCGTGATTTGAAGAGCCCAGCACGTGCTCCCAACGCAAGGGAAACTAATTCTGTCGCAGAGACCTACCTCGGCACTTGTGCAGGTGAAGCCAAAGGCAGGGCTCTTGGAATGAAGTTGGAATGAAGTTGGTTTGGAAACATATTTGGCGATGCTTCATCTCCTGCTTTGCATTTGTGTTGGAGCCCCATCAAAAACCTGTCAATTATGCTAGCAGTGTCCAAGCGTTCTTTTTTTCTTTTCATACCGCGCCCCCCCCTGCAATGGCTCAGCGCCCCCCTCAGGAGGCAGGCCCCACACTTTGGGAACCTCTGATCTAACAGATCAACCCATTAAAGTAGTGTAGTGTATCAGTATGCCCATCTTTTAAGTGCTTTTTGGTACAAACAACAGTCTATAGTGACAGAGTCTCAGTTGTTTGTTATAATCAGACAAATTAGCATTACAGTAACAATGACAATAATAATAACAATAAATGGATATATTATAAATGTAAATAATATAATAATCAAATACTTTGTTAAGATACCTTCACAGGAAATCATTATGGATAGCTCAGTAGGTAAAGTGGTCGCCCCATGATCGGAAGGTCGGCGGTTCGAATCCACTTAACGGCTACCCTGAGGTACCCCTGAGCAAGGTACCGTCCCTACACACTGCTCCCCGGGCGCCTGCTTAGTGGGCTGCCCACTGCTTCACTGAGTGAATGGGTCAAATGCAGAGAAAAACAAGTAATTTCCCATGGGGATCAATAAAGTATCCATTATTATTATTATTATTATTATTATTCTGCCTATAGTTTTGTCTTCAACAAGTCAAATATAACGAAACTGTGTTGAGGTCAAATGACTGACTTGTCCACAGCAGTTTATTTTGCGACATGGTTTGGTTATCTGTGCACTTGTACTGTGAACTCCTGTCCAGTCAACAACAGCATAAAGCTGATTTTCTGCCTCATGGCACTGGATTTCATGATTGAGTGCCACTGAGTCTCAGTACCTGTGTTTCATGTGTCTCTTCTCTTTAGTGTTATCTGGCCTTTCTGTTCTCCACAGTGGCAAATGATTTGGACTTTGGAGTAAACCCTCTGTACAGGCTCTAGATGTTGGATGTTGTGAAGAGGTTTTTCCTCACCGTTAACAAATCATCCACCTCGTCCATACAAGTCAAGACCTTACTCATGTTGCTAACAGTTTATTGTGCCGAATCATTGACTTAGTCTAGATTTGTTTTGTTTCTGCAGATGGTAAGGGTGGCCTGCTTCCCTTGCACTGAGAGCTCCTTTGACAGCAAGTTGCAGGTTCACAACAACAACTTTGAAACTTTTTAAGTTTCACACATGAACTCAACTCTGAACTTTTTTAATTTATGAATAAATTAAAAAGGTATAGTCCACACTTGTCCAAGAAACAGCTTTTGAATGAACTGCGCAGTTACTTATGATTGTTATATATGTTATATAACTATAACTCCAATCTGTGAAAGATATTTCCTGACATCGGGAGTTAGGCATTTTAGCGGCCTAACTGCAGCTAAAATGCAGTAATTCTGATCCGCATTAGTTATGAAAGAACAGACAAGCAGTCATCACAAACGTACTGTTACAAACATTTATTCGGTACAAAGAGCATAAATTTAGTGGCTAAATGCAAATTAAAAATTTGTAGAGACTATTTCTGTTTTTCTGACATCACAGATCGCTCATATCCTCCAGTAATTGAAAAACGATTAAAATTAGTCTATTAGTAGGAAATAAGCACTGTTGGTACAGTTCCTTAATACTCTGCTGGGCTACTGTGGTACAAAGATCTGTCTTTAACCGACATATAGGCCTCCCTGTGAACCGTTTTATGCTATACTCAGCCATAGCAAGACTGACAACTAAAACAACTAATATTACACCTACCTTAAGTTTTAATTAATTGATTAAAAGGCCGCTCTCACAACGTGACTAAACGATATTGATGTGTCCTGTGCGGTTTATGAACAAGGGCACTAACAAGGGTATGACGGGTCTTTGCCACCTCAAGAGGCCGCACGATATAAAGTAGTTTACTGTTCGGAACAGCGGGAAAAGCAGCGTTTTACTTTATAAGCTCTAAATCAGGAGGCAACACAAACAAACCCGGAGAAATTAACATTTAAGTAGTTAATGTTACCTGAACAACTCGAGCGACGGGAGCTGCCATTTTGGAGCTGACTTTACTCCCCATGACGACCTCTCGGGTTTACTTCCGGTTTGAAGCTGCAGAAAGAAAGAAAAACACGCAAAAACACCACATGATGGCGCTATCGACGGCGAGCCCGTAAGACAGAAAGGGTTCAGCGAATGACATTATAACAACGGTGCAGGAGGTAATGTGAAAGTCATAGTAGACAAATAGCAATACATGTTTGTGGGAAGAGTGTTTAATTTTTAGGTAAGATTTGGTCGTTAACATACATTTTGAGTGGAAGGTTGAAGTGCATTAGCGATAAATGCACTGTTATCGTGGTACACCTTACCTCTAGCTGTGTCTTTAACCCTCTGTCTATGATAGCAGGTGGCCGGTAGATGTGTTGTCAGCGACTGTCCTGTTAGGTCAGGCCATGTTACAGTCTTCGTTAGCCGTCTCCTGTAAAAAAACCATGAAAAACTGTATCACTAAAAACCTCCAGCCCGCTCTAAAGTAAAATTATCCGATTTCTGATAAGGCCCAGAACACCATTACTGTTGTCAAAGCGACAAAATTGATTGAATATTGTCGTATGATAAGGGAAATGTCAACACAAGGCTCCTGTTAGGTAACGGCAAAAATATCTATCTTTAATTTCACACTCCCTTGAAGAAAACGGATAACCTCGTCACGTGGGCTGTGCTCGCTCAATCACAAGCGAGATAAGGAACAGAGCTCTTTTATTTGTGAAAATATGTCACCAGGAGCAATATCGCGTTTTCCTTCGTGCCGCGTTGCACATACTGTAGTATTTGTAGTATAATATCTATATAAAAGCCAGATTACACAGCAATTAGGTTATTAATATTGCTGTTCCTTAATAGTTGGTGCTCATAAGAGAGGAAAACCCAGCACATATTGGGTATCTGACTTTTTCTTCCTCTCTTCTCATAGTTTATATGTCTCAGCAGTTCTCTTAGTAAAACGTATTAACATCTTTCATTACAGGCCTTCTGGAAAACAATGTGCAAATGCTTTTAAAACCACAGGCATCTGGTTTAGAATGCAGACACTGTCAGATCCTATTTTCCAATTAAGCTTTGTCAAATTAATTAATGGGAAAGATGAGAACAGTTTAATGATGGGTAATAAACACCATGTCCAACCATGAGACCAAGAAGTTTCCAGTCCTTTCTGGTATGTTCTAAAGTCATCTTGTGCTTACTGTAGACATATACTCAGGTGTTATGTTGGTAAACATTAACTATGCTTTGAGTAACAGGCCTACAGTTAATCAGAGAGTTCAACTGAGTTCACTGTTTATTCTCATTGCAGGAATAAACCATAGATAGCATAAATCTCACTAATTTTAGCCTTATTATTTAATGACAGGTCTTATAGCATTGAACAATGACTCTATTATAACACTTTTAACTCTGCTTTGCAGATTATTTGTGGATGCATAGACACAAGTAGTAGACACAGAATATATGTGTACACCGCCCATCATCAGAAAGAAACTGAGAAGAAACAAACGATTTGTATTTTATCTTTTTTATTAGATATTAAACTAAGTGGTCCAGGGTCGGAGAAACCAAACTGGTCACTTTTACTGGGTTTACTGGGTCAGCTCCCACTTTTGAGACGCTGTGGCCCCAGTTTTACAGTCTAAAGATACACATAACAGTGCTAATGTCATGACAACTGACACTATGTTTGTTAGATGAAGCACTGTATATAGATACTATGGACTGCTGCACATCAGTAGCTCTGTACACAGCTGTCGGCTGCTGAGTCTGAAACAGACTGACTCAGTGGGTTTTTGATTTGTCGAACAGCTGTTCGAGTTCTTCTTTAGAGGTTGCCTCTTTCTGCTGCATCAGATCAGCATGGCCCTTGGTAACACCCCAAGAATCAGGGACAGACATGGAGGGACACTGGGGACGACCGGAGGCTGGCTTCAGGTTCTCCCAGTAATCACGTCGGGCTCTAAAAGTCAACAGACATAAAAAAAACAAGAGTGATTACTGGTAGTAAACAGCGAATATGTCATATTTCACAAAGTATTTTTAAGTATTAGAATTAATAGTTGCTTCTGTTCTGACCTGGCTCTAACCCAAGGCTTGGTGTGCATTTCCAGACCAGCACCCCAGGAGCCATGTTTCTCTGATGCACTTGGAAGGAAGCCTCTCTCAGGTGCCAGTTCCTCTGCTATAGCCCTAATGTGATAAGCCTCAAAGCCACAGCAGCCACCGATGAAGCGAATGCCAGCATTGTAAGCTTCTCTGGCATACTTGTGCATGTCCCAGCGAGTCAGAATCCTGGGCTCCAGGCCTGAAAGAGAAAAAAAACATTTTTTTTATGCACATTTAAATTACAGTTTTGTAGTTTGTGGTGAAAGTTTGCTGTTCTGTGTTGGCTGGCTGAACTTTCTGCAATGCAGTGTAGCATATTCACCAGCAGAGGGCATATATAAGGACAGTGCGTATCCAGAACAGTTGGAATGGCAGATTTATAATACAAGACAGTATCTCGTTACCGAAGGGGAACTCTGGCAGGTCGATAAATCCCTGGCAGTTGCAGTCAGGAGTGTGGTATGCCAGCGGCTGAACCATGTAGTGAGCCTTCAGACCAGCCTTCTCCACTCCCACCTTCATCTGCTTCACGGTCTCCACACAGGTCATGGGGTCAAAGTGACAGTTGACTCCCACAATCTGGGCACCTGTAGAACAAAATACACCACATGCAGTAACATGAACTGTGTGTGAGAGTGTAAGAAAATACATGGCTGACACCTAATCAACTGTGGTTTGCAGTTGTGGGTATAAGGTCTTTGAATGTATTTGTGTTTAGTGGGAACATTTTTGTGCATGTTACTGAATAAAATAACTATTGGCCACTGTTTTGGCCTGTACAGGCTCATCCCAGAAAAAAAGGAAATCCTAACAGAAGAAAACCAATTACAGGTATCATATGCCATTTTTATTCCTTATAAATTAGTTACACTATGGTGGCACAGATGCTGAAGTTTTGTTCATTTTTACTGTCCAATAAATTGCTGTCAGGCCAATAGTCACTCACTCTTGTAGTAGAAATACACCAAGTGACCTCACATGAATGTAAAGGTATATAAACCTCAGTTGATAAGAAGTCTTGAACTTTTTAGTGTCTGATAAGGCTCACAGGGAGACAGTCTGTAATTCTTTTCTGCTGAAACAACATAAAAATTGACAAAGATAACTGTACTCACCGGCTTTGACCAGCCTGACTGCACACTCTCCAGGTGAGACACCGTGCATGTCCCCCTTTGGTCCAATACACAGAGAAGCAGCCACAGGCTTCCCTGTCTCCTTCATCACCTCCACAGCCCACACGGCCTCTTCAACATGCTCAAAGTACTAAAGGACAAAAGCATTAAGCTCAAACAAAACTTCTCTCAGCAAGTAAGAAACACTCAAAACTGGTTCAATGGCAGTTTTACACCTTTGGAATCCTCCAGAAAAAGTTTTTAAAAAATGCCAAAGTGTTCGGTGTAGCTACCTCAGCAATCAGGAAGTCCACATTTTTCTTGATGAACACATCCAACTGTTTTCTGAAGATGGCCTTCACATCTGTCTTGCTCTTGCAGCTCAGGTAAGATGGAGTTTGGGACACTCCTCCAGCAACAAGAGCATCACCCTCATTGGCAACCTCACGGGCTAAATCACAGGCAGCCTCATTGATCTGAGCTCCCTGTAGAATGAAGCAAAAAAAAACAAAAACCCAACTAATAATCAAAGAGACTCTTCAAATACACATTTAAAATATTTTTGTTTTGATAAAGAATGAAACTTGCTGTAATTTCCCTTTTAACTTACAGTCAGTTTGAGGTTGTTGCCTCTGTTCTCAAGTTTGTCATCACTGGCGTAGAATGTAAAGGTCTGCATAACGTTGGACCCGGCTCTCAGGAACTCTCTGTGCAGCTGTCGCACTGAAAATCATCAAGTGGTTGCATCATAGGACAAACGCTGTGCCAAAGCAATCTAAAATGTAACATACACTGCCAGGTATTTACAGGCAGACCCAGCAATGGATAATGGAAATCCCATTTTAAGATGTAACGGAGTGGCAGTTTTGGTACAGCAGTATGTTCTTACCTGCATCAGGGTACTGTACAGAAGCTTCAGGCGTCCATGGTCCGGCCTTTACGTACCCCCTCTTCTCCAGAGCAAACACAAATCCTCCATCACCAATCACCACCTCACCAGCATTGAGACGTTCAAGGATGCCCTGTGGAAACAGAGGGATCCACGGAGAAGCTTAACCTGTGCTCAGTGGATCATTTTGCAAATATTACTGTGGAGCCAGTAAAGCCAAAGAAATTGCAAACTGTATATTTTAAAGAAACTTGTAATCGATATTAGCTTATACACAGTTAAATCAATTGTCTGGCCTTGTGGATTGCAGATTCCTACATCCTGTACCACATCTGTCTTCCCACGCTGAAAGTTTGTTTTTAAAGGTTTGTTCCTTTAAAAAGCTCAAAAAAATCCTGTAAGAGTTGCAAAAATCAAAATCAAATAATATTTTGAAGTAAGTCTTGTTATTTTTAATCTACAGGAAAAAGTCAAAACCTAGGATAATATCAAAGGAGACTGCAAGTGAACTGAGCAAACACATTGAGTGTTCCTAATATAAGATGAATGCTTAATGAAGAAAATGTTTTTTTATAATCCACATTTTATGAAATCTTATTTTTAAATGGCAAAAAATCCAAACTATCTCATTAACTATGTGCTACTTTGCATAAATCCCTGCTACAGATTGAATAAACACCTAACTGTGTTAGGTGCACACATCTTTAGTCTAGCAATAGAAGCAAAATCGGCTAAAATATTAAAACTGACCAGTGGATAATATAAATATAAACATGCTTGCAGTGTGACACTCTAAGATTTTTTTAAGCTACCATTATTCCGTATACAAATTAAAAATGGAATAAATAAAATGAGCTTCATTGGTCTTTCTGTATGCCTAATAGCATCAAGAAGGTTCAGTGGTCTGAGAAATGACCTGATGTTCTACACAGAATACACACCACTCAAAAAGACTACCATAAACATGCAGTATGATACCCCAGCCTCACAACCTTTCACCCACATTTAACTTACAGCGTGAGATGGGAGCAGAAATCTCAGACAGAAATACTAACCCCACCGTGGGTCATTATGATTGCTATAATAATTTCACAAAACTAACTTTTCACAGCATAACCCTACCTCTGGACAAAAAAGCCTGCACATACCTTTTTTGCTGGTGCCATAATTTCACAGCTGTGTGGACCCCTGACTGCTCAGACCTCGAGATGCTGAAGTGACAGTAGAGTGGGGCAGAGGGCCAGATTAAATCTCTCTGAAGAAGGGGAGTGTTCTAAGTAAGAGCTGCTCTGATTGGCAAGGGAAAGGTTATGCAACTCTTTGAATGAGAGTATTGTGAATGTGCGATACTAGTTTGGTCCGGATTAGATGGTTCTTGGTGTTGTTGTTGGATTCCCTCCCAGTTGTTGGCCTTTTGTTTTCAACCTGATAGCAGGCAGGCATTAAAAGAAAAACAAAAAAAAAAACAGTCAAACACTAGATCACTTCACATATGTCTGCATGGGTGAAATTTGTAACAGACATTTTTGAGTAGTTTGATTTGTTGCAGCAGTCCAAGCACATGCTTCACAAAAACAACACGAAGCCATAAAGTGAAGTAAAAAACTCAGGCCTATTGTTTTGGGGGTTTTACAGTTTAACACTCTACAGTCGGAGCACTGCTGTTACAAGTGCTTTTCATCGTCTAACTGAACTTGGAAAGACCACACTCATCCCCCCCCCCCCCCTGTCTCTCTGTTGTTGACTGACTGGAGGGAAAGGTGCATTGATTTTCTTTATAATCTCATCCTCATACTGTGGACTTGGACTTCTGCACCTCCAGCACATGCCTCATTTCCTTGCTGGTGGTGGCTTCTTTGTGCTGAAGCAGTTCAGCATCACCCTTGGTCACACCCCAGCCTTCTGGTGTGGACATGGATGCGGATTTGGGGCAACCGGATGCAGGCAAGATCTTCTCCCAGTATTCACGACAGGACCTAGAAAAAAAGGGCAGGTTAGGAGACAGACACTAAAGAATTTTATTGCTACAATTGTATGAATCTGTCTAATCGTTTAAAATCCTTTACCTGGCTCTGACCCAAGGCTTGGTGTGCATCTCCAGACCACTACCCCACATTCCATGTTTCTCTGATCCAGCGGGTATTATGCCTCTTTCAGGGGCCAGTTCCTGTGCCAAAGCCCTGATGTGATAGGGCTCAAAACCACAGCAGCCACCAATGAATCGGATGCCAGCCTTGTATGCCTCCCTGGCATACTTATGCATGTCCCAGCGGGTTAGGATTCTGGGTTCTAGGGCTGAGAGGATAGGGGATAAGAGGATATGAAATGATGGCCACTGCAAGATAGCCTGCTTTTTTCTTTTTTAAATATGCACAAAAAATATTTTACCGAAGGGGAACTCTGGCAGATCAATGAATCCCTGGCAGTTGCAGTCAGGAGTGTGGAATGCCAGCGGCTGAACCATGTAGTGAGCCTTCAGACCAGCCTTCTCCACTCCCTCTTTCATCAACTTCACGGTCTCCAATCAGAATCAGAATCAGAAACTTTATTGTCATTGTCATGAGAACAACGAAATTAAGAATGGTCCCCGATCATTGCATCATCCCTAGCAATATCAAAATATAAATAAAACAATAAAATTCAATAAATAAAATAGATAGAATACTTAAAATACTAATAAGATATAACAGTAAAACATTCACATACATTCCCACACACATGCTTCAGACCGTGCATAGATTAACACAAGAGTGGCGTGATGGACATTTTTTTGTAGTATTCAGATGTGTTATTGCAGTTGGATAACAGCTGTGTTTGAGTCTATTAGTCCTTGCTCTGATTGCTCTGTACCGTCTGCCTGAGGGCAACAGTTCGAACAGGGAGTGGCCAGGATGTGAGGTGTCTTTTATGATGTTTTGGGCCTTTTTAAAACAGTGGGCGTTGTGTAGAACTTCCAGTGTGGGGAGAGGGCAGCCAGTGATCTTTTGGGCGGTGTTAATGATCCCTTGGAGTGCTTTCCTCTGAGCCCCTGTGCAGCTAGTGTACCAGATGAAATCTAATTTGTCTGAGTAGAAGAGAACAGAGTGTGCTGGAGTTTTCTGCCCCATTTCAGCAGGAGCAGATAAACAGGGAGCCAAGGTCGTAGCTTAGGCGCTGTGTGAGAGAAAGCATGTGAATGTTTAGGCTTTGTATGATAAGGTGGAGGCACCAGAGGCTATAAAAGTTTGAGCAATGCTCCACCATTTTGAGATTTTGAGGCTGTCTGCATCAGTGTCCATCTCCCACGCGTGTGTTCATTAAAATCATCGTTTGACTCAACCCGGCCGGACCAGTGTTGTTATTGTGGTTTTTTCTCTTGTCTCCATCCCCAATATTTTGAACCTTAACAGCCATGACCTCCACGCAGGTCATGGGGTCAAAGTGGCAGTTGACTCCCACAATCTGGGCACCTGCAAAACAAGGGGGGGATTTGATTATTTTTGCCTTTAAGTAAAAGGAAGAAAAAGAAAACATATGACTATAAATTTGCGTACCAGCCTTCACCAGCCTGACTGCACACTCTCCAGGTGAGACACCATGCATGTCTCCCTTTGGTCCAATGCACAGAGAAGCAGCTACAGGCTTTCATTTTTCAGGCTACATTTTTAAAAATAATGACAAAGAACACACAAAGATGGTTCCATATATAATGTACTGTGGTTGAGAAATTAGTTATCTCTGTGTGCAATGACAATTTTATGAATCTGTAAGTATTGCTGTTTAAGTACAAAGGTGTAAAGATAAAAAGCAATTTTTAGCTTGAGATTCTCCAGCACTGAGTGCTCCAGTCTGGATATTTCACAGACCACATGCTCACACATGCATGAAACATGCACTGGCAACATTTCCTTTACAGCACCACAGTCCACTAACCAGCTCTGCATATTGCACTTGGTGTGTAAAACAACACACAGTGGAGCATAGTGTGCAGAGGGTTTATTTTACCTTCTTCACAGGTGCCATGTTCCCCGTTCTAGCTGCAGCACAAAGCACTTTGTAACAGCGAACCCCTCTTTAGGCCTGAAGAGTGCCTGAGATCCCTGCGTCGCTCTTTTTATACTGTTGCAGGTCCAGGACGACTTTAAGTTTGAACCAAATTCATGCCAAATTGCCCCATGTTTGTTTGGAAATTGCATAACAAAGTCAACAATTAACTGGGTTGAGTAAAACAGGGAAAGAGAATGAAAGGGAAATCTGCCTGTGTAATGATTGTAGCAGCAGGCTAAACCTTCACATTAACTCACTCCCGTTTGTCCCAAGCATTTTTTTTTGTTCATGTTTTTATTTTTCTATTTTTTTGCTTTTATTTTCCGCAGACCGCAGAGATTGCCTTATCACGTAAGCTCGAGAGCATATGCCTATACTTCTGCTTTTGACATTTTTCTCAGGGTTTACCTTGAGCATGCAAATGCATTTACGTGTTTGCAACCTCATGTGTTTGTGTGAGTGTGCACATGTTTGTAACAGCATGCATTTGTGTCCTCAAAGACCTAGCTTTGGGATGTCACAAATTTAGTCTGTCCTGGTTTTTGGAAGCTTCACACATTTGAACATTTGTTAGTGCCGAGACTCACAAAATATAGTACTGTAAATGTTTGCAGCTCAAGCCCCAGTGCAGTGCTCATGTAGGCATGCATGCATGCATGTATAGAACTAGAACAACTAGTTTATGAAACAGTTTATTTCCACACAGTGAGTGGGGAAATATTTTGATAATCATTGTCTAGAGATTCGATGACTTCTGGCACTTTAACAATAATAATGTAGTTATTTTTTCTGTTTTAGATCATGCAGCTAAATAGGGAAATAACAGATTAATTGTATTTCGAATGATAATAGATTAGGTTGCTTTGATCGTGCTGTCTGGAATGGAAAAAAGCTGATATATATATACAGAAAATTTTTAGAGGTAATACAATTTTTTCCAAATAATACATTTTGCTGGATTTGGGGGGTAATGTGTACTAAATGATGCACAAAGTTGTATTGAGCCTGTGGGCATATTTTGGTAGAAGCTGCAAATAAATGTATGCATACCTCCCTGTTAATCATCAGACTGAAGCTCATTTCTTCTCTAAGTCATCTTATTTTGGGGGTTTAAAATGGCTATATTTAGAAAAAGCTTACCACAAGATGTAGAAGTTTGACTTGCAAACATGACACCTAAATGAACCCTCTGAACTACTTCTCTCAGACACAAGACTTTAGGTACACTTTTATTGAACCTTAGTTCAGTTCACGTGTTTGTATATTTGTGTCTAAGGGCAAAAATAATTTCAGTGCACTGCTGAGATACCGATTCAGGCAGCAGGTCTCCCAGGTGAAACCTTTAAATTTCTAGCTACACGTGCACCAGAGAAAGTGCTGCTTACCGTGCCCACTGACTATGTAGCGTAATATTTCAAGGACACATGAAGCTTGGAATAATTACAAAATGTTTTGCATTCATCTGATTTTTTACATCTTATTTTTCTTTTCACCTCCTCCTTATTAATTAAGGGGCTCCTGCTCTCCTCTCTTTGTTCATTTTTGATCCCATCCAAGAACAACAGCTACATCAAGCTTTACTAGTGATCTAAATTTGTAATGAATATCTATGATATCCAATTTCTTCTGAATTATTCCAGGTATCCCAGTCGGAGTATTGAACACTGACCAGCAGGTGAACAGACTAACATTGTCCTCTCGTAAACACAACTAGTTCTTTCAGGCTGAGGCTGAAACTGAGGCCATTCATGGAGTTTCTGTAACAGAAAGCTGATGGTGAAAGAGGGACCAGGGACTGATTGGTGAGTAGAGGGGAGGAACTCTTGACAGTTGGCTTGAGCTGGATGGGTTCAGAGGTGAGGAGTGGAGGTGAGTCTGAAGTGAGGCAAAAAAGTTCATATTTGATGTATGAGAGCTGACGAAGCGATCGAACGGGCTTGGCTCATACTGATAAAACTGTGGTTAACTATTGACTCCTGACAAACTGATAACGTCTTGAATTTGTCACATGCTACTTTGGTCAGGTGGCCACACAAATATAAAAGAGAAAAGCTGACACAACACGGGAAAATGTTACTCTTGAGATGAGCGTTTGTTTTTGGAATGGTAACTGCAATATTGTAAGTTATGTTATTGATTATTATTGATAATCTTGTTCTCCTTTTTTTGGTCTACAAGTCATAGCACATTGATTATTTTCCTGCCAGTATTATCTGTGTTGTTTCACTATCTTGTAACTGGTTATTGAGGGACACCCTGCCTGTGCTGCTGTAACCCCCTGTTTACCTCCTCCCCTTCCTCTGGTCCAATCACAATTCAAGCTGAAGAAGACATTCAGCTGAAATTGTATTGAGGCAGTCAACGCAAAAGAGGGAGTGCATTGTGTGACCAAATAATCTCACTCATGTATTTGTAGTTTTTTTTCTTCTTATTTTGTAATTATGTTTAATAAATTTGTAAGAGATTGCATTGTGTTTAGTCATTAATGATTCTCATTCTACATTGTAACTCCACTTTTAGACACAAGAGGGCAGAAGGGTGCTCTTTTCTTGGTAACAGCGATTGCCCAGTACTATATAAGAGGTTCTGATACAAGACACAAGAGGTCACTCAGTGTTTGCTCCATTTTAGAAAGATGTGAATGTTATATTTTCCAGCTGAAAACTCTCAGGACAATTTGGACTTAAATGACAGTGTTTGTAAAACAGGAATTTTAAGGAATCCTGAAACTCTACATGTCACATCTGTGTGTATTTCTTATGGGAAAATGGTGACAGAATTCAAGGGACACCTTGACACTCAAGACAACTGTCTATTTTCCCACCTGCTGATTATTAAAGGACCATGGGGAAGACTAAATTCATGATCCCTCCTATGCATAAGTCATACGATTATAATGTCACCTGAGGTGCCATTTCTGCCAGTGTGGCAAACAGGTGCTGTCCCACATGCAGGTTTCGTAATACTGCATTGAATGTTCAGGCTATTTTGCTGCAAAAAGCAAAGTATGAGATCTAAATGGTAATGCATGTTGATAATTACGACGCTGTTATGAGGAGCTGTTTACTTTAATTTACTTTAATTTAAGTCATCATACAATTTATGTTTTCATGTTAAAACACACTAAAATATTATTAAAACACAATTTCTGGAGAAAAACATCAGTTATCACAGAAAAGTCATCTCTATCTATCTATCTATCTATCTATCTATCTATCTATCTATCTATCTATCTATCTATCTATCTATCTATCTATCTATCTATCTATCTATCTATCTATCTATCTATCTATCTATCTATCTATCTATCTATCTATCTATCTACAGGGTGGGCCATTTATATGGATACACCGTAATAAAATGGGAATGGTTGGTGATATTAAAGTCCTGTTTGTGGCACATTAGTATATGTGAGGGGGCAAACTCCTCAAAATGGGTGGTGACCATGGTGGCCATTTAGAAGTCGGCCATCTTGGATGCAACTTTTGTTTTATCAATAGGAAGAGGGCCATGTGACACATCAAACTTATTGGTAATGTCACAAGAATAACAATGGTGTGCTTGGTTTCAACGTAACTTTATTCTTTCATGAGTTATTTACAAGTTTCTCTTTGTTCACAGCCATTGACATGTCAAAGAGGTTAACACGTGAGGAGCGGATCGAAACTGTGTTGAAATCTGGTGAACGCAGTAACCGGGTCATTGCAGCAGATTTAAATGGAAGACACCTAGGCGGACAGTCCTGATCCTGAAGGACACCCAGAAGAGACTGGTCCCATCCAACGACTGACAATAACCCGCCTCAGTACCACCTGTCAGGCATCATAGCGGCTTAGATGAACAGGCATATGACACAATAAATGAGTGGTGCACAGAAAGGGATTGGGAAGAATACCAGAGGCGGAAAACACCAGCTACTGGTAAACTGAGCAGTCAGCCGAGACTGCAAGACTAGGCTGACCAACCTGTGCACTGCCTGGATTGACTACAAGAAGGCCTATGACTCAATGCCCCACACCTGGAATGCCTAGAACTATACAAGATCAAAAGGACCCTAAGACCCTTCATCAGGAACTCAATAGGAATGTGGCGTACAACACTAGAGGCCAACTTCAAGCCCATAGCACAAGTCAGTATCAAATGCGGGATCTACCAAGGAGATGCTCTGTCCACACTGCTGTTCTGCATAGGCCTGAACCCCCTCATTGAGATCATTAACAAGACTGGAGTCTAGGATGAGGCAGCGACCATCCAGGAATACATAGGAAGATGGTCCCAACCGACAGCGTGCTCAGTGAATACCTCAGGCAGCAGAAACCCAAGACATCCGTAGTGATAGATGTAGCGGTTCCAAATGACAGCAACATCAGGAAGAAGGAACACGAGAAGCTTGAGGAATACCAAGGACTCAGAAAAGAGCTGGAGAAGATGTGGAGGGTGAAGGTAACAGTGGTCCCAGTGGTAACTGGACACTCGGTGCGGTGACTCCCAAACTAGGCAACATCTGTGATCTCTGTCCAGAAGAGCGCAGTCCTAGAAACAGCTAAGATACTGCACAGGACCCTCAAGCTCCCAGTGCTCTGGTAGAGGACTCGAGC